TATAACTAGCTTGTAAACTAGATTAATATTTATAACTAGCTAGTAAACTAGATTAATATTTATAACTAGCTTGTAAACTAGATTAATATTTATAACTAGCTAGAAACTAGAATAATATTTATAACTAGCTAGTAAACTAGATTAATATTTATAACTAGCTTGTAAACTAGATTAATATTTATAACTAGCTAGTAAACTAGATTATTAGTTATAGCTAGCTTGTAAACTAGATTAATATTTATAACTAGCTAGTAAACTAGATTAATATTTATAACTAGCTAGTAAACTAGATTAATATTTATAACTAGCTTGTAAACTAGATTAATATTTATAGCTAGCTTGTAAACTAGATTAATATTTATAACTAGCTAGTAAACTAGATTAATATTTATAACTAGCTAGTAAACTAGATTAATATTTATAACTAGTTAGAAAACTACTTGTGCAAATTCATGAGAAATAACAACCATGCAAAAAAAAAAAAAAAATGTACACGTGCTGCTTTGAACGATTATTTCCGTGTTTCTTCGGCAGTGTACGTGTAAATTATCATAGCCAATCCAGAGATCCCATAAAATTCTTAGATCGCTCAGTTGGCTGCCTCGTATGAAAATTTTAAAGATTTAACTCTATGTACTTGTTTTGAATGAGAGCCATATAATTTTCACGCAAGTCCATCGATCAAGTTTTGAGAATCCTCCAAACCATTTCGAACCCCTCCCCCTCTCCCACATAAGAGTTTAAATTTGAAAATCTACAAAAATGTAAATTTATTGTTAATACCAATTTTCAAGTATATTAACTGTCAATCCTGAGAGTGAAAGGCCTCAAAATTTCTAGACTCCCAGTTTTTGGACTTCCATTTTTTGGACTTCCTTCCTGACTGTTTCGATTATTATTTCTCGTTTCCAAGATGTGGAAGGTCAAAATATAAATTGAAAATTTCAAGTAAATTTGACAGAATTTTTGGGAGAAGTTCAAAGATCAAGTAACCACATACATACAATAAAAAAATACGTATTAAAGGACAATTTAATTGGTCAATACTGTTTGAACTTACATCACATAAACTTCTTGACGAGTCAGTATTCTTTGTACACAACATTCTAGAGTTCACAGCTCCTCCATAATGTTCTTTCTTATTACACTCATCTCTATCTAGAACCATTAAAGCAATATAGGTGGCGCTGGAGGGGACAGGAAGTGGCGCTGTAGAAAGACCAAAGGAACAGACTCATAATTCTAATTATTCAATGTGATTAATTTATCGTCGTAGTGGCAGATAAATTAGTAAGTCCAATAAACATAATTTTATAACAAAAGAATTCGTTTTGATGTTCATATGTTTTGCAGCTATACTTTCAAGTACATCTTAAAAAATATATATATCGATATACTGATCAAAATGTTAGAGTCATATATATTACTTGAAAAAACTTTGCGCATTTTCGGATTGTTATGTTAAGTTTCATAAATACTAAGATACTAAGAAACATTTGACGTATCATTTTATCAAAGATGATTAATTTTTTCTTTTGTCAGAGAAACATTTCATTTTGAGTGCTCAGGAAAACACAGATCCCTGCTTATTTTAACCGTTTTTCTAGCGGGTAATATTTTATGTCACATAGAAAATAATTTTGATTAATTATTGAATTATAATAACGAAGATGGAGTACTTATGATATGCGATACTTTGAAGAACAATGTATATAAAACTGAAAAGTTTGTGAATTAATCATAACTAGACTCGAAAATTATATTCTATTCAGATCGCAATTTAAAAAAAAAAACGTTTGTGGTGACTTAAATTAAATAACCTAGGTTTTTCGCACTAGAATAAAGCTTATTTTTAGCCACTGTAAATATAAAAAAAAAGTACTTATGTATCTTACATCTTGGTATACTGCTACCAAATGTTCCCGAAAAGCAGGTAATTCCAGGTTTAACTTCTTCCTCCGGTAAACAGATGGCACTAGTGTACTCATCAAAATTAAGTGGTTTTTCAAGTTGAATTAGGGCTACATCATAATCTTGAAGAAACACTGAACGGAACTTGGATGAATGAGGATGAATAACTATCCTCCGAATTTCTCTCGCGCTGTTTACGTCTTCTATATCTTCTGCCAGTTTCTCAATTTCAGTGTAAACTAACCAATCAGAGTCATTTTCTGATGGTTGTCTAGACATATCAGAGGTAATAGTCAATACGAATATAAATGTATACATATATACTTCTATTTAAAAGCTAGAAAAATTGTTTAAAAATCTAACATATTAGATTTATAAAATAGTTGTAATCTATGCCATACAAGTTGAGGAGGGTTTGAATAATGGGATCATATGTTAACAAACATATGTGAGCATAATGAGGCAAAAAGATATAGTACTGTGGATATGAATTTTGAATATTCAGAAGTGTTTTCATGTAATCGTTTTGTTTTATTATTTTTACATTTTTATAGTGCATGAAATTAATTGTATTTCACCTTCGGATATATTTGGGGTCATAAAGGTTACTCTAAATTACTATTTCATTATTGCGATTCTTTTAGTTTGCTATTTGGTTATTTGTTGTTTTTATATATTTTTTATGCTAATAAATAATATAAAACAAATATAAATATTGACCTTGCCCATATCAAATATGTTCCCCGGTGGCAGCAGTAAATCTAAAACTTCCAACCCTAAAATCTGGGGTTCGATTCCCCGCGGTGGACACAGCAGATAACCAAATGTGGCTTTGTTTCGAATCAACCAGTTAAAAATTATTGACAAGATAATTTATTACTATTATCCCTAAAAATAAGCAATTGATCAATATAAAAAATTAAGAAAATAGATAAATAAGTAAAATAATAGACCAAGATAAGCACAATTAACAAATTTATTAGTCAGAGTAACCTTTGTGACCGCACAAATATACCTAGGGGAAATGAAATTCATTTCATGCCTTAGAGACTGTGTAAAAATGATATTTTATACTCTATGATTTTTGTTTACTTTTTATATTTATTAACTTTATTGGTTAAAATGCTTAATATATCTAATTTTCTTATTTTATTTTTTGTTATTATACATTTATTATAAAAATTATTTTACATTGTTAGCATAATTGATGTATTTAGAACAAAAGGCGTTCACACCACAACAATGTATTCTAATCTTTATAAGTTAAAATCTAAAATAAAATAAATTATTTTACATTGTTAGC